GAGGCGGAGCTTTCAGTGAGCCGAGATTGCGCCACTGCACTCCAGCCTGGGCGATAGAGTGAGACTCCGTCTCAAAAAAAAAAAAAAAAAAAAAAAAAAAAGTCCCCACCTTATAGGCTCGTGCAGATCCAGGGGTTATTAAGTGCTCAGGCAAGTGTCTGGTACACTCACCCCAAAGTGCTCGGTACACAGAGACACTGTCATCCACACCACCATTGTCATCAGCATCGTCCATGGTCATTATTTTTTTCCCCAGGTCCTCACCTGTCAAAATGCCTATCCTGAAGAACCTGGGAGTGTCAGACCCTAAGGTGCCCCGGGCGGGGACCCTGCCCCTGAGGTCCTCTCGGAACCCCTTTGAAGAAGTTTCAGGGCTGGAGGAAGAAGAGGCCGGGGAGCTGGGGTCCCTCCCCAATGGAACATCTTGTCGCCGCCGCGCCACCCTGGAGAAGCTTGCAGGCCTGGCTCCCTTCCGTCTGGGCTGGGCCCCGGGCCGGCGGGCAGGCAGCCCCGGGGATGGGCAGTCCCGCTCTTTCCTGGGCCGTGTGCTGGTACCAGGGATACGCAGGAGCTCAGCAGATTTTGGCCTCCTGGCCCGGCTACATGGGACCCGAGCCCATGGCGACGAGGAGGCAGCAGGGGAGGCTGCCCGGAGACTGGCCTTCCTGAGACTCGGGCGTGGATCCAAGCCCCAGCGTGCGTCCCTGGCTGAGAGAGTGGTGCCTGCAGGCGAGGCAGCTCCAGAGCCCCCACCCAAGGTCCCAGAGCCCCCAAAGATGAAGGAGCCATTGTCAGGTGAGTCCAGAGCCCTGACCCAGTCCTGGGAGAATTCCAGTGCCCATGTCCATCCCCAGCCCTGGTGGTCCCAGGCTTCATACTTAAGCCCATCCCAGCTGCCACCTGTGACCCCGACCTGCAATTCACATGTCTGACTCACATCTCCTGCCTCCTTGCCAGCTCCAGCCCGTTACTACTGCCGTCCTAACTCCTGTCATCAACCTTCTTCTTCAGAGCCACCTGTTAAAATATGCCCACCCTCAATCTTTGCCTCCTCCACCTGCCGTCTTCAGCCCTACTCCCACGTCTAAAGCCACGTGAATACCTGATTTTGGTCCCATCTCTCCCCCTTCCCTTTCTATCCCCAATTTCTTCAATTTCTTTATTTTATTTTATTTATTATTATTTTTTTTTTGAGATAGAGTTTCACTGTGCCGCCCAGGCTGGAGTGCAGTGGTGCAAGCTCGGCTCACGGCAATCTCTGCCTCCTGGGTTCAAACGATTCTCCTGCCTCAGCCTCCCAAGTAGCTGATATTACAGGCATGTGCCACCACGACCAGCTAATTTTTGTATTTTACTAGAGATGAGGTTTCACCATGTTGGCCAGGCTGGTCTCAAACTCCTGACCTCAAGTGATCTGCCTGCCTCATCCTCCCAAAATGTTGGGATTACAGCTGTGAGCCACGGCACCTGGCCAATTTCTCCTTTATATGAGGACACCACTCATATGGGATTTGGGTCTGCGCTATGATCTCACTTTAATTTGATTGCCTCTGTAAAGACCCTATTTCCAAATCAGGTGACATTCTGATGTACTGGGGTGAAGACTTCACATATCCTTTTTTTTCTGGGGGGACATAATTCAATCCCTAACACCACCCCGTCTTCATCCTCAGTCCCCATTCCTACTCCAAGCCCCAGTGTCTTCCTCAATGCCTTTTCTGTTCTCACCCCACACTTATTCCAAGCCTACCATCAGTCTCTATCTGAGACACATCCATATGCTTCTCGTACAGCTCATCCTTTCCTCCAAATGCCATCTCCTTTTGGAGACAGGGTCTCACTCTAACACCCAGACTGGAGGCTAGAGTGCAGTGGTGCAATCATGGCTCTCTGCAGCCCTGACCTCCCGGGCTCAAGCAATCCTCCCACCTTAGCAGCCTGAGTAGCTAGGACTACAGGCACACGCGATCACACCTGGCTAATTTTTACATTTTTTGTAGAGATGGGGGTCTCACTATGTTGGTCAAGTTGGTCTTGAATTCCTGGCCTCAAGTGATCCTCCTACCTCAGCTTCCCAAAGTGCTGGAATGACAGGTGTGAGCCACCACGCCTAGCCCAAACACCATCTTTTTTATTTTTTTAAGACAGAGTCTCACTCTGTTGCCCAGGCTGGAGTGCAGTGGCATGATCTCGGATCACTGCAAGCTCCGCCTCCCGGATTCACACCATTCTCCTGCCTCAGCCTCCCAAGTAGCTGGGACTACAGGCGCCTGCCACCATGCCTGGCTAATTTTTTATATTTTTAGTAAAAATGGGGTTTCACCAGGTTAGCCAGGATGGTCTGGATCTCCTGACCTCGTGATCCACCTGCCTCGGCCTCCCAAAGTGCTGGAATTACAGGCATGAGCCACCACGCCTGGCCCCAAACACCATCTTTAATATCAATGTCTATGTCCAACACCATGGCAACCCCCAGCTGGTCCAGTCCCGTTTCATATCCCATTCTTCCCCATGTTCACCTTCAACTCTTTTACACTCTTTTGGTCTCACTCTTAACCCCCAGCCCCAGGCCCCTCTCAGCACCCACCTTCCACCCATTTCCCTCCGGCAACCTCCTTTTTTTTTTTTTTCCTTTGAGGTGGGGTCTCACTGTGTTGCCCAGCTGGAGTGCAATGGTATAATCTCGGCTCACTGCAACCTCCACTTCCCCGGTTCAAGCAATTCTGTCTCAACCTCCCGAGTAGCTGGGATTACAGGCATGCATCACCATCCATGCCAGGCTAAAATTTTTTTCTGTATTTTTAGTAGAGATGGGGTTTTGCCATGTTAGCCAGACTGGTCTCGAACTCCTCATCGCAGGTGATCCACCTGCCTCAGCCTCCCAAAGTGCTGGGATTACAGGCATGAGCCACCACCCCTGACCAGCAACCTCCTTATTCAGTCCTACTTGATATCCTAGTCCTTCCTCAGCCCCCAGTTTCAACTCCAACTCCAAGCTCAACCTCCTCTTCATCCCTAATCTATCTTCACCCCTATCCTGAGTCCCAATCCTAAACCCTCATCCCCAACCCCTCCATCTTCAATTCCATCCATGTTCCTATTCCCAAGCCCAACTCACTTCCAGAATTCATCTCCAAACTCACATCAATTTTTTTTTTTTTTTTTTTTTTTTTTTTGCGACGGAGTCTAGCTCTGTCATCCAGGCTGGAGTGCAATGGCGAGATCTCAGCTCACTGCAACCTTCGCCGCCCCGGTTCAAGCAATTCTCCTGTCTCAGTCTCCTGAGTAGCTGGGACTACAGGCACATACCACCATGCCTGGCTAATTTTTGTATTTTTAGTAGAGATGACGTTTCACCATATTGCTCAGGCTGGTCTCGAACTCCTGACCTCAGGTGATCTGCCCAACTCCCAAAGTGCTAGGATTACAGGCGTGAGCCACCGTGCCCGGCCTTCACATCAATCTTTACGTCCTTTCTATCCTCAGCTTTCACTTACACTCCCCTCCCCCACCTTTCCAACCTCATCCCTACCCAGATCCCAATGTCATTCTTCCCTCCTTTCCCATTTCTGTCCAGACTCCCACCCGACTTAATCCTAACCCTAAACTCCCTCATCCCCACCCCCACCTTCCCCCCATCCTCACCTCCAGCCCCATCCCCATCCTTGTCCCAATCCCCATCTTAATTCACTGCCATCCCCAACCCTGCCTCGATCTCTGCTCCTGTGCCTGAGCTCTGCTTTTAGCCCTGAGGCCTGAGCTGCTCCAGGGCTGGGGACTCAGGAGAGCCTTTTCTGTCCTCTGATGCCCTCCGCGTTCTGGCCAGAGGCTATTTCAGCCCCAGCTCCCTGGGGACTGGGAGGGCACTGGAGGGAGGTGAGGAGGGGGTGACTAGAGCCCCGCCTTCTGGAAACGGATGGGCAGAAATAGCGCTGGCCAGGAAATAGTTTCTCTGCCAGGGAGGAAGTGGAGGGGGGTGGAGGTGTCGAGGGTAACCCTGGGCTGCCAGGACCCTCCTTCAGCCTCAGAGGCCTTCCAGCCCCACGACTCCCCTTTCTTGAGGCAGTCTGAACTCATCAGAGGGCCAGATCACCCCACAGCCATCCCCACCCCAAAAAGACCCCATCAGTGGTCCCATATCCTCTCCTCATCTCCAAGCCCCCACCCTGCCCCTCCTGCTCCCACCGCTGCCTCCATCCCTCTCCTCCTTACCTGGCTCCTCTCTCAACCCTCTCGCCTCCTCCGACCCCTCCTCCATTTCTCCATCCCGCAACCTCCCGAGATCCCTTCCTCAGCCACAGGCATTTCTCTTTTCTCTCTCTCTCTAAGTTTTTATTTATTTATTTTTGAGATGGAGTCTCACTCAACATGTTGCCCAGGCTGGAGTGCAGTGGCGCAATCTCGGCGCCCTGCAACATCCGCCTTCCGGGTTCAAGCGATTCTCCTGCCGCGCCCTCCCGAGTAGCTGATATTATAGGGGTATGCCACTACGCCCTACTAATTTTTGTATTTTTAGTAGAGACGAGGTTTCGCCGTGTTGGCCAGTCTGGTCTTGAACTCCTGACCTCAAGTGATCCGCCAGCCTCGGCCTCCCAAAGTGCTGGGATTACAAGCATGAGCCCCTCACCCTGTCCCCTCCCCTACATCCTTTACCCAACACCCTTCTTTCTTGCTCTTCTCCGGGCTCTTCTCTGCCCCCAACACCTTCCCGCCTCCTGTAACCCTCTTCCCGTCATCTCCCTTCCCTTCCTAAGCACCCACCCTACCCCTGCGTCCGGCATTGCCCCCATCCCCCCCGCGCACTGCTGACCTCCCGCCTTCCCCCCTGCAGTGCTGGAGATCCTGAGCCTGATCCAG